TGACCAGTGACAATGACCGCCTGCGCAAGCGGGTGGAACAACTGAGCCGCGAACTCGACACTCTGCGGGGCATCTTCCGCCAGCTGCCCGAGAGCTCCCTGGTCAAGGCCATGGGCAACTGCGCGTGAGGCGCGCCGCGGCGGGACCGCCCTGGGCCGACCCCCGGCTGGGACCCAGGGAGTATTTTCGTGGTCTCGGGATCTCAAGACTGCCCACGCCGCGCATGCCAGGACTAGGAGATTCCGATGCCGCCTGAAAGCCTGGACTGTCGCGCGTGCCCCTTGCCTTCTTCTGCGCGGGACACGGTGCGTCTAAGATAAAGGGTCAGGCAGTAGTTTCTCCCTGTAAGAGAGAAGTGCCCGGGGCCACGCCGGGAGCCTGGCAACTCTAGTATTAAGGAATAACCTTGTGCCTTGGAAATGCAAACTCACTGCTCTGATTCCTACCAAGTAGGGGGAGCAAATATGTGCCTTGTCATTTTATTTAGAGGGTTCCCTGCCTTGGTCCCAAGGCTGCAAGGCTGCAGCAGGCCCCCATGAGAGAGGAGGGGTGCAGGCTTCCGGCTGCAGGAAGGTTCAGGGAGCAGAGATCTTATAAGCCAGTCCCAGCTGCTCCTCAGCTCCTTGTCCTTGGAGAGGAGGAAACAGGGAATGTGGGCTTTGTGAACCTAAGGCTGTTCCCCTAGTTCTACATGAAGGTGGAGGGTCCCTAGTTCCTTGTCTCTAACCTCCCAGCCTACAACGGACTGGGCTTCCAGGGCAGAACTCCCTGAATGGGAGTCACCATGTGACCAGTGGGAGACCTCACCCCGAGTCAGACCAGAAAGCTAGGTGTGGATTAGCTATAAGGACATATGTACATGGGAGTGGTGGCCTGGTGGAAGAGGGGAGCCCACAGGTCTGGTCTGGGGGTTGGGAGAGGGGTGAAGGGACTCTGGGGCCATCAACCATGTCTGTACTGTATGTTGCCAGCGTTGCCATACAAACATGAAGCACAGTCGGCCCGGCCCGGAGGGACCCAAGTTATGAGAAGATTTCCAAATATTTTGCTTTATCAGCCGATATCAACATTTGTATCTGGCCTCTGTGTCCCAGTGGTGCCTTGTGCAATGTGAATGTGCATGTCTATGCTAAACCACCATTTTCTTTGGTTTTTGTTTTGTTTTGGTTTTGCTCAGATACTTGCCAAAATGAGACTCTTCGTCAGCAGCTGCAGGGAGGGTCTGCGGCTCTCTTTCCTTTTGGTTTTGGGATTGCTTTTGCTCCCGGAGGAACCAAAGAGGCAAGATGGGCTTCCCCTTTCCCCTCAGCTTTCCCGGGGGGGGGGGGGTGGCTGTGGACCTTGGTCCCCTCTGGCCCCAAGCTGCCCACAGGCTTGTCCCCCACAGAGGCCTGGCTCCGGGTCTGGAAGGGAGGCGGCCTCCAGCCAGCACACACAGATCGCTGGGCTTGGGAGCAGAGGACAGCTTGGTTCTCTTCTTTGGAGGAGAACGTAGAGTTTCATGCTAGATGTTTTATGTATTATATCTATAATATAAACATATCAAAGTAAATGTTGGTGTTTTTTTAAAACCAGAAAAAGCTACTTCCACGGTTTTCTGTGAGCCAGGTCACATTTGTGAATAATCACAGCGTATGTTCTGGCTGAGATCCCTTTGGGTTTTTTTTAAAACCAGAAAAGCTACTTCCACGGTTTTCTGTGAGCCAGGTCACATTTGTGAATAATCACAGTGTATGTTCTGGCTGAGATCCCGACTCCCATTCACTCTGTACCCATGCTGAGCCCCTCTGTACAGTAAAGGGGTGACTTCTCCCAACCAAGACAAATAAATGGCAGAAACAGGACAAGGCTCCAAGCTAAGCATGCCAAAGCCTGAAGAACATCTCCTGGTCGGAGACTGTTTTGGGGGGCAGGGGGCAGGGGGCTCATGGGACCTTGCTGTGGCCTCTCAAGGCCCTTTGGGAGAAGAGAAATTCGGAGAGGGAGCCCCCTGCCTGAAGTTGCCGCAGCCTCTTTGGAACTCGGGCAGGCCTTGTGCAGCAGCTTCAGGCTCCAGGGGCCCTTCGGCCACACTCACTTCCAAACACTCACAGTTCCAGCTCTGGAGCAGCCTCGCTCACACCTGCCTTTGCCACAGCAGGACCCTGGGTGGGCAGGGAGAGGCCTCAAGCTGTAGGACCCTCACCCCTTCCCCCTTGCTCTGGGCCGCGTGGCTGTAGCCTACTCCAGCAGGGCCCTGAAAGGCAGTCCTAAGACTGAGTACCCCTCCACCAGCCTTCCACACCTTCCCTGCCCAGCTCAGCCCACCCAGAAACAAAGGGCCCACGCAGGCCTGCAGTTGGGTGTCTGGCCCTTCCCCATGCACCACCAGCAAGGAACCAGCCCGACCTCCATGCTGCCCACTGTGTCCACCCTGCATCAAGCCCCCCACCTGGACAACTGCCCTAGGAGGACAGGCACCCCGACACCCTCTTAGCAGCAATGATAGCCACCAGGGAGGGTGCACCTCCGTGCCTGAAAGAGCAAGGCCTGAGAGGAAGCACCCCAGGAGGCTAGCAGGCTTTCAGAGTTGACTCTTTCTGAGGGCAAAAGGCAAAACACTTTTTACCTTCCGTTTCCCACCCTCCCCCAGAGTGTTCACTTGAGCAGCTGATAGTATATGCCATTGTGGGCTGCAACAGTTTCAAGAAATTACACATTCTTCTTAAACTCTGAAAGCTTTGGGTTTACCTGACTGCTTAACGAGGTGACCTACCCCCTTCCCGCTCCGCTTTCTGACTTGTGTCTTGCCGCCTCCTCACCCATGGCCGCCCTTGGCAGGGGAAAGGCCATGAGCCCATTGAGGAGGCGGTGGCCTGCCCTGCTGCCTGGGAACCAAGGAGGCAGAGCCCCACCGCCTGCCTAGAGGCCTGGGGCAGGCCACAGCTTGCTAGGCCCCAGCAAACCCTCTCTGAGTTCAGTGCTAATTCCAGTTTTTCTTGTTTGAGGGGGCCAAGCCTTGGCTTCCCCCTTTGCCCCCAGAACAGATCCCAGGATGAGTGGGGGAGGAGCACCCCTCCTCCCCTCACTCCTCCCCCTCCCCTCACACAGTCCCATCTCCAGGGATTTCCTCTTTCAAAGCTGTCAGCTCCTGAAAGGGCACCCGTCCTACTGCAGATCCTTAGGGCCAGGGCAGGCTTTGTTGGGGACAAGATGATCCAACCACAGCCAGCCCCAGGAAAGGAATTGCTAGAGCAGCCCGTGGGGGGCTGGGGGCAGCATGGGGGAACCTGCCTAGTTCATGCTCTGTGCCAGCCAGGGAGGCCCTTGGGGAGAGCCACTCTGCACCACCCACTGCTTCCTGCAACCTCCCCCCCCCCCACACACACACACACAGTTCCCCTCCTGACTTCAGCCGCATGAAGAACTACTCCAAGAGTCTGGCACCAAACACACCCCAAGTATTTATTGGATGCCAACTGTATACCAGGGCCTGTGCCTAGGACGAGGCACTCGGCTGAGAACAAGCAGACTGGGCTCCTACTCTTGAGGATCTCATAGCCTTGTGACATCCAGATGTGCTTTAAGGGCGATAAGTGTAATGGGGGGGAGGGGCTCAAAGTGTGAATAGAGGCACCAGGGAAGGCTTCCTGGAGGTAGCAGCTTTAACCCAATGCAGCCATGGACCCAGTGCCTCTGCCTTGCACTCTCCCATGAGAGTTAGCAGCGACCTCACCCCCTTGGTGGGCCACCAGAGCCTGGTGTCACTGAGAGCACTGGCCCGGGGAGCCAGCCTCCAGGGAAGGAGCAAGGGCAGAAGGGAGAAAGGGAGGCGCTCCTTTGCTGGCAGGTGCCTCCTGATGGTTTAGGTTGTCACGAATGTCGCCCTTATCTCTTGGATCTCCTGGGAATCTGTGAACATGGCATTGGGCCCTGACACCTGTGATGAGCCACTGGGACTGGTGCGGAGTATCTGCCCCTCCCAGGTCTCCCGCCCCCTCCTTCCCAGGCAGAAACCTGCCAGGCCTCCTCCAGGAGCAGCTGATTTCATGGGAGGGGTTGGGGCCGTGGGGAGAGGAAGAGGGAGGCCAGGCCTGGTGCAGGCCGAGAGGGGGCAGAAACCCCAACCTTGCTCAGCCAGAAGGCCTCCTTCCAGGCACCACAGGCCTCCCGCAGACACGAGCAGGGTCTGGACAGGGGGGATATTCCATCTGGTTCTTTCCTATGTTGATGGGTAGGGGTAGGCCTTTCCCTTATTTTCTATTTAAATTAAATTAAACCACCAGGACCTTTCAAAGATTTTCCTTGTCTCTTTAAAAGACTTGTACTATCTGCCATCTCTCAACCGCCCCCCTTCTTCCCTCCTCCATACCCCTCTCCATGGATGGAGCATTTGACGTAAGCAGAGACATAGCTCGCTGCATTGTGGTCAGCCCTGGGGCTGTGAGGCCATCCCAGGGTCTGCCTAGGTCTGTCCTCAACTGGGCTTTCCCCTGCAGCCCCTGGAAGGCCCTCTGTGCATCCTGGATCCTGGTCGCTGCAGACAGAGCCAAATAAATGTGGAACCCATTACTCAGGCAGCCACAGCCTTGGCCAGCCCCATTCTGGCACCCAAGAGCTTTGCTTTCCTTTACTTTGTTTTTATTTATTATTTTTCTAGCCTTCTAGCCCCACCCACTGGGAACAGGCCTCCCTGGGTGTTAGCTTCTACAGTGCCCTTTCTCTTCATTTGCTGTGCTCAAGCCGTACCTGAGAACAGCAGAAGATGGTATTGGGGACCCTGTGGGGTCTGTACCCTGAGGCTCCCATTAGATTTCAGACTGGTGGGCACTTGCAGCAAGACTAGCCGAGCTCTCTGAAGCCGGTATGATTGCTAGAGGAGCAGGGCACAGGGGTGCACACTGCCTGGCGGCCGTGAGGGGCCCAGAAGGGGCTCAGCCAAGACCACAGGAAGAGATTCTTTTGCTGTCCTGGGCCTTTTTCAAGGTGTAGAGCCGAGAAACCAGATTCTTCCGTAGGGAGGCCAGGCCTGGTGCAGGCCGAGAGGGCAGAAACCCCAACCTTGCTCAGCCAGAAGGCCTCCTTCCAGGCACCACAGGCCTCCCGCAGACACGAGCAGGGTCTGGACAGGGGGGATATTCCATCTGGTTCTTTCCTATGTTGATGGGTAGGGGTAGGCCTTTCCCTTATTTTCTATTTAAATTAAATTAAACCACCAGGACCTTTCAAAGATTTTCCTTGTCTCTTTAAAAGACTTGTACTATCTGCCATCTCTCAACCGCCCCCCTTCTTCCCTCCTCCATACCCCTCTCCATGGATGGAGCAT